ATATACAGCAGGATCTGGTGCTAGGGGGAGCTTAAAAGTTGGTTCCCCCCAGCACCATCGCCACAGGGTTTAGGGGAGGCAGGGGGTAGTGATTTAGGAGCACAAATCTCATTAGGAATTTAAAGATGTTACCTTTTATACATTCTGTGTCTCATTTCCCCATATATAAAATGGGTCCATTTATTAATAGTTGTGGTCTCTCCAGATACTGCAGTGATTTAGGATTGGAGGAGGTTTTCATATACCTACATACTTACAAGTTCTTAAAATCACTTGGCAGTGATTCAAACTGAGCTTGTTTTGCTGACCTTTGATATTTTATGTCTTCTGGAAACTGCCCTGTTAGTGCACTGGTGTAAGCACTGGAGAGATTTAACAGAATAAATATTTGCTGCGCACAGTTGTAAATTCATTAGCTATTTACCTTTTTCTTAAGTTTTCAAGGTGTCATGTAAATATTTGCTGCGCACAGTTGTAAATTCGTTAGATATTTACCTTTTTCTTAAGCTTTCAAGGTGTCATATCTTAAATAATCAATGATGGCTGCTGGGTGACTATCTTAATTTCATTACTTGCAGAAAATGTTTGCTCCCAAGAAAAAGGGGAAGAGGACAAGATGGCTCTTGTGTTGACAATTAACCATAACAAACTTATGAATCAAAAAGGTCCTTAATTGCCAATATTTAAAGAAAGGATATTTGGGGAGAAGGCCAAAACATTTTAGTATGACAATTTGCAAGTATCCAGTTAAAGATATCGCATTCTCTACTTGCTCACTTAAACATTTTAGTATGACAATTTGCAAGTATCCAGTTAAAGATATCACATTCTCTACTTGCTCCATTTCATGATAAAATGCAAAGGCAAAAGGGTGACAATAATACATCAAAACCATACAATGTGAGGCAGTTTACCAACTGTGACTGATTCCACATGACTTTTTCCCCCTAGATTCTACATTTTTCATTCGGTGCTGAAATATTACCATATTCTGTAGTTCACAGTGAACTTTTCTTGTTTTGCAATGGAATCTGGTAAAGTTCATGGGAAAGCTAAAATTGTAAAAGTTGTCTTGTGGTTTGTAGTAATTCTTAAATGGAAGTAACTGCTCATTTAAAAAAGAATGAAATGGAAGAAACCAATTTAGAAGGGGAGTAGGTATAGCTCTCCTTTTTGTACTAAAAATGCATCTCTTATTTCCATAAATGGCTTTGTTATGTGTTCTTTTTCTGTGTGAAGTAGATTAAATGTGCCTCTAAGCAAGACTGCTAACACCACCTGTTTACAATTACTAAACAACTATGAGTTGTTCCAAATGGAATTTGATGATCTCATAAATGTTTCTGTCCCTCAGTAGGTGAGGAAGAAACCATTTCTGAGGGATTAACGCCTGTGCTAAGATTTATGAATTAAAATTGCAGTAGGAGTCAGTTTTATATGCATGTTGTGCTAAAAACAAAAGTGAGATAATAAATTAACTGATGGCATATAACAAAGGGGAAGATGAAACCAGCGATTTCTTTGTGAAACCAAAAACATATATATCTCTTTTTCAATTGTGAGTTTTCAAAGGAACAGACAAGGAATGAGATTCCGTAGAGGCCAGTCTTACAATTACCTGATCTTTCTAGCTCAATATTACGGGGAGTTGATGCTTCTCCTGTGACATTTTCATAATAGAAATCACCAAAGCAGTATACATTGTCAGCAGAAGACCAGATCCCAGCAACGTGTAATGTATGAAGTGATGGTAATAATAATACATTAATATCAGAAGGACAACTATCCTTTGCTAATTAATAAAAGAAATATGAGGAGTCCTAGGTTGAAGCTCTCACATAGTTTGAGTGAGGTATTGCGATGAATTTATATAGCTACATAGTCCCATGTTAAAAATCTTTAAAGGCTGCAATTTGACCCACCAACCTGGCTGAACAATGCTTTGATAGCCTCTTACTCATGTTCTCAATCAAACATAGTAGTAGGAAATTTCTGAGGCCAGAGATGAAAAGGTCTGAGCAGCTGTTTTGTTGGGCTCATTTCTGATCTCTGTAAAAAAAAAAAAGTGAGTACCTTGGAATATTAAGTGTATCTCTGCACTCTATAAGGGCAACATAGCTTACATATAATCCTTTGTTTGTTTTGGCAGATGTGTGGGTGCAAATCTGGCAGTGAACGGGGTTTCTATGTCTTTGTTATTGCCAAATATAATAATCAGGTATCTAGGAAAGTATATGGCTTTCAACTTAGGCATTTTGGGGCTTGCTTCACTAAAGGATTTTGGTGCCTAATTGATACTTTGGATGCCTAAATCCCTCAGGCCCTACTGGTATTCACAAAACCTCTCTTAGCAACTGCCATTCCTTATTTTGCCATCAAAGTTCCCAAGGTACCTATGTTTCTGCTCATACATGCTGCAGCCTCAGTCTAAAGGTATGTGTACACAGCAGGGATAAAGTCGAATTAAGCTATGTAACTTTAGCTACGTCAATTGCATATATTAAGTCGAAATACCTTAACTTGAGTTTTGGTGCTGTCCACACAGCAGGAAGTCGAAGGAAGAAAACTCTTCCTTTGACTTCCCTTATTCCTCCTAAAATGACTGTTACCATGAGTTGGAGTAAGATATCCTCTAGCTCGCCGTTATTTCAAAATAATGACTTGTAATATAGATGTACACTATGTTATTTCAGAATAACATCAGTTATTCTGAAATTAACACTGCTGTGTAAACGTACCCTAGGTGTCTGGGAGACAAAAACAACAAGGCAATGTGCAAACTGTGGGAAGATGGGCATTGCTATCTCGCCCTGCAAGACCCAATCCAGGATGTATACGGAGAATTCACTTCCTGAATTGGGCCCCAAAAGAAAGCTCACAAAAAACGGATATGGAATGGAACCCTCATCATAGTTTTTAGCCCAATAGTTTTGGTAGTCCCCTTGGATGTGAGAGATTACTCATTCCAGTCTCCCCTTCCCTTGAAGGGGAGAAGGGATTTGAACAGTAATTTGCCACCTTTCTTGTGAGTGCCCACCCCTGTGAGCCATGGGCTAGTCAGATAGCAGGCTTATCTGTTAAAATGGTTCTGCTATCACCCAGTAATGAAAAAGGCATTGGAGCAGGAGGACTGGATCCCAGGTCTTACGCATTCATGCTAAAAGTTAAGTGCATGCTTGCTCACTCTGGTATCCCTCTCATTTTCCCAGCTTCTTTCACAGACAGTGTAGGCACCGAATGAAAGAGATGGCTAGCAGCTGAGAATCAGAGAAACAGAGAGTGGCACCTACCTTCAGTCCAGACTTGGGCACCAAAATGCTTGAGATGGGCAGACCTTAGGACATACCCCTGATCTTGGCATAGTCCACTAGCTAACTTAGGCAGGGAGCCACTTGGCTTGCTGGTTTTTGTGAATCTCTCCCCATTCATTGCACAGGGAGGCTAGGCACCTGAGACTTTGTGAATTTAGCCATTTGGGCTCTCTTTATGTCTTTTTTCTGGCTGGCCAAAGCGGTATGAGTTTTCTGGCTCTTTCTTCACTGGTTCTGTCATGGTCTTCATTCTAACAGTGATTAGCATTGCAGAGAAGAATATCTATCCATAACTGTAAGTCTAAATAGAATGTGTGTGAGAAGGAAACACACCCTTCCAACTTTGATCTCCTAGCCAGCAATATCCCTTGGTCACTTACACTGGAACTGTTAGTGTACTTGTCCAAATTAGACTGCTGGCTCCTGGGTTAAGGATCTTGTCTTTCATGTGCCTGTACAGGGAGGCATATATTTATGCTGCACTTTAAATAATGAAAAAGAGAGGCAAAAGATAGAAGTGATATTCTGGTAATCAATCAATGACAGTGCTAATTTTGGGTCCCCTAAGCAAAGTGCAAGTAAAAGGACTTTGCAAGGAAGCTATGTAAGGGCTGATATGAATGGAATTCTCTTCTGCTATCTGGTGGTGATTTATGAAACATAAGTATAGCCGCTGCTATAGATTATAGCCGTCATCACCAACACCAAAGGGGTTTAGGACAGTGGATCCTCATGGCTGCAGATCCAATCTTCTGCACTCCCCCATACTCAGACTCTCCTGTGCACTCTATTGGAGGGTGCCTCGGTTGAGCACTTCTCATTGACATGTAAGGGCCGTGAATTCTTTCTGTGAAGCCTCTTCACAACCTGCCCATCAATCCCCATGCAGCAAAACCATGGCAGTAAGTTCTAATACTCTGTGGTCCTTGAGCAACTGTGCAAGATGGGAGCAGCAGGATGTGTCTCATAGTTGTTCTGAAAGCACACAGATGAACAATACATGTGCACATGAGCATCTATTCCTAAACAACTTTCTAATAAAGATCATGCCCGACGTGATCCGTTCACCTCACACAGAAGTGTCAACATTGTAAGAGATACAAATAGATTGGGAGTTGGGACCATTTTTATGGTTTAATTAGGGAGATTTCTCCATTAGTTCCATCTTTTGTGTATATGTGTTTTGGTATTCACATTAATATTTCTGGCAAGACAATTAGGGTTGATGGCTGCAGAAAAATACTGGTTTTCCCTTTAGTCAGCTGCTTTTTTCCCCCAAACTGTTCTGATATCCTTCAGTTTTATCTGTTCCCAGTTGGCCGAATATTCACCTTAAACTGTAAAATTCAAGGTCAACAAGAGACATAAAGCTTTGTTTTTGTAGAGAAGAGCCACCAATCTGCTGGAAGTTAAAAGCAGACACGTCCAAAGTTTATAAAAGCAAACAGCTTAGATCAGATTTTCATTCCTGGATTATTCTGAGATCAGACTGTGATAGCTCAGCTCATATTTTCATTTTTGTATTGAGACTTGGATTTCAGTGTGCATGCTGTGTAAGTGAATGCCTGTTGCAAAACTATGGTAGTCAACTAGTTAGAGAAATTATGGGTGCTTTGTGTTGAATTCATGTGATGTTGCTTTCAAGGGCAAAAATCAATCTGTATTTTTTTTATTTCACCTTTGATATAGGTATCCAGACACTACAGACTCTCCTGTGCACTCTATTAGATATCTACAGAGAAGATAAACAGCTGAACTTTTGAATCACTGAAATTTCAACAAAATTGCAACACTCCAGGAAAAATATCTAATTTCTTACATAGAGCTTAATGCCAAAATCTTCGTTATATGTACATAGACTGATTGACTTTAAATCCATAAAAGATGCATCTATCTAATCTAATCTAATCTAATCTAATCTAATCTATCAATATTTATAAAGCTTGTATTGCCATCTTATTTCTCGGATTGAACCAAAATTCATTGAAATCAAAGGGAGTCTTTTCTTTAACTTCAGTGGGCTTTGTATCATGCCCTAGATATTATATTTGACAGAATTTGTTCCTTAGCAATTATTGATATCTTGTAAAATATTGTATCCAATTTGGTTTTCCTTTTACATTTTCTTTTTTAAAATGCCCCCTTTCTAACATTGTTTAATATATAACACTGAACAGGTTTAATTGACTTTCTTTTTAACACAATTGATATCTTATTATTGTCATCTCAAGCAATAGTTAAAGTGTTAGGTTTTAGGAACATTTGTCTACGTATATTCCATCACTGAAAAATCTTTGATGTAAGATTCTGTCATTGCATAGCATCAGTAACTATTTGTAAAACATTGTGGACATACATGCTGCTGTATACATTGGATTAATAAATTCTCTATTGGGTGTATTTCTTTTGAAGAAAAAAAGCTTAAACTTAATTCTGAGAAGTACACAAAGAGTATACTTTCTCCAAAGAAAAATCATGCATAAATAAAGAACATGTATTATCGTTTATGGGGCACCTTTCCAATCCTCACAATCAGGACATATTACCGCCATTTGTGGTGATCCGTTGCTAATGAGCACATTAACAATATGATCTTTGAAAGTAAGTGGAAACATATAGAAACCAGAAGAGAATCCTTTTTAATATGAGGGATATATAACTTGTGAAACTTTCTTCCATATAAACATCACATCTGCTGTAATGGAATATTTTTTTTAATTATTTTTTTTGTAAATACCAATAAAGAACACCCTGCCAAACAGCAGTAGGTATCACACCATCTTAAATATATTTCCAAATGCAAAACATACAAGAAGCCAGTACAATCAGTATATGCTCAGAAAGAAAGAATTCATCCAGTTGTAGCAACTGAACAAATAAATCCACTCATCCCACATCAGTCTCATCATACTCTATCCTCCCGCTATCCAAACGTCTGAGAAAACAGATAAGTTTTGCAATGTGCCCTCAAGGTCAACAGATTTGGGCTCTTTCAGACTGAATGGTGGATGAAATTAATTCCAAAGTCAAAGGCCCCTCTTGCAGAGTAAATTAATAGCTTAATTAAAGACAGAAGGGATTATTGTGACTATGTAGTCTGACTTCCTGAATATCACAGGCCACAGGCTTTCCTAAATTAATTCATATTTAAATTCAAATATCCAATGTTGATTTCAAAAAGTTCAGAGATGGAGAATCCCCCACAAAGCCATCCTGGATGCATCTACACTGCCAGGCTTAACTCAAAATATGCTATGTAAACTGAGCAACGTCAATTGCATATCTTATTTCAAAATAGCTTATTTCGAAATCAGGAGCATCTACACAGCACTTTCAAAATAGAGCACTCTTTCTCTGACTTCCCTTATTCCTAATACAATGAGGCTGCGTCTAGATTGGAATGATTTTGCGCAAATACTTTTAACGGAAAAGTTTTTCCATTAAAAATATTTGCGCAAGAGAGCGTCTACACTGGCACGGATGCTTTTGTGCAAAAGATGTCTTTTGCGCAAAAGCATCCGTGCCAGCGTAGACGCTCTCTTGCGCTAAAAAGCTCTGATGGCCAAAAAAGCTCTGATGGCCAAAAAAGCTCTGATGGCTTTCTTGCGCAAGAAATTAACTTGGCTGTCTACACTGGCCCTCTTGCGCAAGAATACTTGTGCAAGAGGGCTTATCCCTGAACGGGAGCATCGGAGTATTTGCGCAAGAACCACTGATTATGTATAGTACAAAATCAGTGTTCTTGCGCAAATACTCGTGGCCAGTGTAGACAGGCGGCAAGATTTTGCACAAAAGCGGCTACTTTTGTTCAAAATCTCGCCAGTCTAGACGCAGCCTGAGGGTTACAGGAGTTGGAATAAGAAGTCCCGCAGCTTGACAGTATTTTGACACTATTTCAAAATAACTGCCTGCTCTGTAGATGCAGACTAAAGTTATTTTGGAAAAGCACTAATTATTTCAAAAACATGTTGCTTTGTAAACATAGCCCCAGAGTGCTCCATGGCACTTCAGTGGTGATTTAAAGGGCCTGGGGCTCCAGCCACCATCACTGCCACAGTAAAAGTGACTGGGGCCCCCAGACACTTTTGAATCGCCAGGCTTTAGGGCAGTTGCTCCTTCCTCCTCCCCTTTCACCCATTGACAGGTCTGACTCTCAAGCTTAAAAATGTATATCTTATTTCTAGTCTGAATTTATGTTGCTTCAACTTCCAGCCACTGGATCTTGTCATACATTTGACTACTAGATTGTAAATCCTGCTATTATTAAATTTCTGCTCCCCATATAGACACTTGTAGATTATGATCAGATAACCCCAGAGTTTTCTTTTGGTTAAACTAAACAGATTGGGCTCCTTGAGTCTTTCATTGTATGCCATGTTTTCCAGTTCTTTCATCATTCTCATGGCTCTTCTATGAACCCTCTTCAAATTTATCAACATATTCCTTGAACTGCGATTAACAGACTACAACACAGTATTTAGGTAGCGGTCGGCCAATACAAAGCTCACATAACCTTCCTACTCTTATTCAATATTTTCCTGTTTACACATACAAAGGATCACATTAGCCCCTTTGGACACAGCAACACACTGAGGGCTCAGGAGTTCTTGGAGACTTCCTTTCTTACAATGTAATGATTTTGCAGCTTAATCAGATTCCTCTTCATAGGAAGTAGTGATTTTTAAAAAGCTAGAAAAGTGGATATTCACTTTCAATGTTGTTTTGATTTAGATAGGCTGTTTGTGAAGTCAATAGGACACTGTAGAGTCTATGTACGGATTAAAGCAAACTAAGAGAGGGGGCAGTATGTTGCTGAATCTGTGTCTCTATGAAGTACTGTTCCCATCTGGGCACTCCTACCACTGCAAACTGGTCCTCCACTGGCCATCTCCATACTGTAGACAGCCATCTATCTCCTCCTACCAGAACCTAGAGAGGAATGGAAGCAGCTGTCAAATATGGTAAAAGAGGAACAGCGTACCCTAATTTTTGTGCTGTGGAGAGAAGTTAATAACATAGAGTAACTTCTATATCTCAGCCTGTACAGTTGGACAGCTGCAGTGATGTGACAGTGTCTACCCAATGTGACATATCAATTCTCTGCATTTTTTCAACCAGCCAAACAATTTGACCAATTTACATTGACAGCTGAAGCAGAGGTGGGAAGAAAGATTATTTTATTCAAAAATGGAAATGACAAATTTATGCTTTCCACATATATTTTTAAATCCTTTAGAAATGAAAAAGATGTCTATCTTGTCACATGCATGCAGGGGTAGAGGCAGTGGTAGGGGGAGAGGGAGACAGTAGCTTTAAGAAGTCTGTTTCCTTTTCTCAAATTCCCTCTAGCATTTTCTCCCTTAAGTTCACTATAAGGAATACATTAAGATTGCCCCTGTTTCTAAAGGACCATTTTCCCACCTGATGAATTTAAAAAAAAATAGAAACTTTTTTTTAAAATTAGTGCAACATTTACTAATGAATGGTGAAACATGAAACACTAAATAAGAATAGTGAAATTGAGAGTATTGGCTAAAGCTAGTGAGTAAGCCAAGGACAACCCCTTAATGGCATAACTCATGGAATGAATTATGTGGGCTCTGCACTGCTCCTGATGCATATATTTATATTTCAATTTATTTGTACTGTGGGTTTAAACTGATTGGAATCAGTAGGGTGGAAAGGAGAGTTGTACTTTTGAAGTTTAAATATATGCCACAGGGATTCCAGCCCAGTCCCCTTTGCCATTTGTTCTGGCAGTTAAATAACCTAAGCAAAAGCCACGGCTACTGTGGACATTTCTGCGATCACCTTCTACTGCAGGATCATTGTTTCAATGTACTTGAGTCTCCCTTCCCTCCCGCACACAGCTCTGTGCAGTGATTTGTGAAACGCCACGAAGGAACAAGCGAAGCCAGCCAGGGCGATCAATCCTGCTCTCAGGCACTAACCAAGCAGCAAGGGCGATGCACGTTACCCCGCCCCACAGTCCGGGTCAGGAGCAGGGCTCCCACTATCACCCCGCTCTTTGCAGCTCCCATGGACAGTTAATTCCACTTAAAGAATCGATCCCACGAGATCGCTCAGCGCGGTCCCTGATTTCCCAGCCCGGGGCAGCCCAGCGAGCGGGCGGGGGAAATGCCGATGCCGCCGATTGAGCATCAGTTGTATCCCATCCCGCGGGGCGGTGGGTGGGGCCAGCAGAGGACTCCAGGGGATCGCTCTCTCCGCCCCCTGCTCGCCGGCCTTAATTCCACTTAAAGAATCGATCCCACGAGATCGCTCAGCGCGGTCCCTGATTTCCCAGCCCGGGGCAGCCCAGCGAGCGGGCGGGGGAAATGCCGATGCCGCCGATTGAGCATCAGTTGTATCCCATCCCGCGGGGCGGTGGGTGGGGCCAGCAGAGGACTCCAGGGGATCGCTCTCTCCGCCCCCTGCTCGCCGGCCAGCTCCCCCTCCCCCGGGCCCCGGCCC